GGCCTCGCATCCTCTCCGCCTGGGAGGGGCGCTCAGGGGACAGCCGGGGCGGGGTCGTGCTGGTTCCCAAGCCGGGCACTAGTGTCACGGGGTCCTGTATAGTCTATTTTTACACCTTTTGCAGACCTTAACCATTTTCTTATTATCGTCAAACATGTTTGAGAAAGACACTGACGCTTGAATACGTGAGCGACTTGCCCAAAGCCCCACAAGTCAGGCAGAAATCTGCGTGTTTGTTCCTCTTCCCGAGCCGCAGGGTGTGTGTGTGTCTCTGTGTCTGTGTGTCTGTGTGTGTGTGTTGTGTCTTCTGGACTCCGGGGGGAACAGCACAGCCGCGGGGATGCGCTTGGTCGGCGCTGGTGCCGCCACTCACAGCTGGGTTTGTCCGCGTCCTTGGCTGTCTGCTGCCACTCGGAGGTCCTCGGGGGACCTGATCCTGGGGAAGAGGTGGAGGCAGAGGGGAGTTCTGCCACCACAGTTACCGTATGAGACGAGACCCACAGTTGTTCCCTGTGATCCCCTCTGGGGGCCTGGGGCCCTAGGTTGCCTGAGTGACAACTTCCCGAGCCGGAAATCAGATCAGGGCCACTGGGTTAGGCTGCACGCCGGACGTTCAGATAACATACGGGCATCAAACCAGAGGAGCCCCAGGGGCACTTTCACACTTTCACTGAGATGTGCGGTAGGAGCACCTGCTGGATTCCTACTGATTTGTGCAGGGAGTTGGGTGGCGTTTATAGCACTAGTTTAGCTCAAGGAATCTACCACTCAGCTCTCCACAGTGTGACCGGGGGGATGGAGGAGTGAGTGCTGCCTGGGGTTCAGATCAGCCTGCCCCCCACCTTGACCCTGAACCAGTGCCAGGAGCCCCAGCAAGCTTGGCATTTTGACTGTCCCATGAACAAAGCAGTTATTTTCAGCATCTCTATTTTGCAATAACCTTAAACTGTGGAAAATGAATAATTAGTTCCTAATTCTTTAGTCAACATGGAAAACCCCTCAGCCTTGAGCTGGGCCGAGCCTGGCAGTGTTATTCGGAATCTTTCCAAGCGCTTCATTAACCTGTTGTGTGCCAAGTGGCTCTGTTGAAAAAAGCACCCCCCCCAGTATTTTACTATTATTACCAGTTAAAATGCTTGCTGCCTTTCATGGTATCTAAGCTCACACCCATCTGATTTGTTGGGGTACAGGTGCATTTGATGTAGATGGGGGAACAATTTCTGCTTTGACCTCTCAACCTGACTTGAGCCCAGTCTTCACACACCATGGATTTGCGGCCTTGACAGTCCACCACTTTGCGGAGGGGGGTCTCTGTTGTACATTTTATGGGTGTTTGCATCCCAGGGCGGATGGTGAGTGTGAGGTCGCCCCTCTCTGCTGGGACACTGTGTCCCAAGTGACACAGATTTCCGACTGAGGACCGAGGGCACAGAAATGAACTATCTTCGTGAGAACGGGCTGCTTGAGATTTTAAGGTTATTTTGCGAAAAGTTAACGGTCAGACAAGACTGATCAAGTAAAAATCAGCCAGTAAAAGGGAAGGCATTTTCTGTAACGCTGTTTCCTTAGGATTTTGGACATGGAGGGAGACGTGGTATATTATACAATCTACTCCAGAAATATTTAGCTTGTGTTAACAAAGACCGGCAGTACCGTTGCACATAGAGAGCTTGAAATCCTGAGAAAAAAAATGGTGCAGTTCACTTAGGGAAAAAAAAAACACCACATCACAACTATGACGTTAATTACCAATCTCCAACTTCCAACTTCTAGTCTGTGTTCTGCCTTTTAGCGCAAGTCTCTCGTTTCCGAGTTACTTACTGCGGCACTAATAATTTCCAGCTTGAACTGTGTTCACGAGGTTTTAGCTCTGAGTAGATAATCTTTTGAGTGCAACTTGCTTGGCACATACCCAGTCTTTGCTATGGTCTTAAACACCCTTTCCTTTCCCGCTCCGTCCCTTCCTTGCTGGCCCTCCCGACTTTGCGGCCTCCCCTCCGCGTCCCGCCCCCTGTCCTCACTCGTTCTTCTTCTGGTACCACCATCTAACACAGTCTCACCCAGCGGATGAATTCCACTGTCTAGCAGGTGCTCCCTCTTCAATAAACCCAATGAGGGGTGGGATTCAGGAAAGAATAGCCCCAGGGGCCTGCCTCAGATGGGCTCCCAGGACCATTGATAGCCCTGCCTGGGAAGGCAGAGAACCCCAGTGACAGCTAACACTATAGCGCCCCTCCTGGGGAGAGGGGGCAGGTGCAGGCATGTGATGTGATTAAAAAAAAAAACTTCCTCTTCCTGTACCTCATTCAGCAGGAGACAACTTCACAAATTTTACATACAAACTTAGAATAAAATCTTGCAGAGTCCTGGCGTGTCTCAGGCCCCCTTTCATGAATGTGGCAATCTAAAGTTTGAAGTGGAGAGCGCTCTCCATTACCAGATGGTCCAAAAAGTGACTCCTGCTGAAAGTGTGACTTGTCCCCAGTGTTGACTGGGACTCCCTTAGGGAATGCGGATGCTGCTGTTCAGGCTAGAAAATGTAAATCACTCAAGTACGATTCGGGGTTTGGCCTCTTCTTTTCTTTCTTTCTTTTTTTTTAAGTAGGGGAGGGGCAGTCAGTTTTACTTGATTAGTTATGCAGCCTCCCTCCAAACTTTCACTGACTTTTCTGGGTTAAATTTTTAAGTTTTCTAAATTAAATTCATTAAGGATGACATTGGTTAGTGAGATCACTCAGGTGTCAAGTGCACATTTCTGTGATACACCATCTGGATGTGGCATTGGGTGCCCGCCGCCCAGAGTGAAAGCCTCTTCCGTCACCACAGGTTGGACCCCCGTCCCTCTGGTCACCACCGCACCATTGTCTGTGCCCACGAGCGTTTGTCTGTCTTTCCTGTTTGCTCATTTGTTGCTTTCACTTTCGTATCCCACATAGGAACGAGATCATGTGGTTCTCGACGTTTCTGACTGACTTTGCCTGGCGTATTCTCAAAATCCCCCCGGGGGTCACGAATGGCGGGATTGCACCCGTTCTGGTCGCCGAGGTGGGTTCCGTTGTGCACACGTGCAACGTCTTCATCCACTCACCTGCGGAAGACTCTCGGGTTGTCTGTGTGCTGAGTGAGGCCGCAGTGAACACGGGGTCACCTGTCTCTTTGTGGATGAATGTTTTCAAGCAACAGCTCTGACAGGGGGCTAATGTTCAAACGGTATAAAGAACTCGTTCAACTGTGGACTCTCGATATGTATTTAATTAGGATTTTAAAGAAGAAATTAGAAAAGAGTTTTTAGAAAGCTTTCTATCGATGCAGAAAGGTCTGTTAGTTTCAGAAATGGGCTTCTTTGGCATTTCAGATATTTCCTGATCCTTTATCTTTTTGTAACTTGGACTTATGAGAGACAGTGGACCTGAGCACTCAATTTTGATTTGAAAGTTAATTATTGTTCGTGATTAAGAGCACTGTGCTGGGAATATGCAAAGGAGAGAAGGAGTTAAACACACTGTAGGAAATCCTACCGCGAATCGTCCAGTACCTGGAGCGACCCTTCAAACACGTAAAGATAATTTGCTGCGCTAAAGCAACTTCTCAGACAAATGGATGGCAACCCTATGTCCAAGTTTAATTTGAAACTTGACACAAGGGAAGAGGCTTCTGAAGAAGCTGATTCAAAGACTCCCTGTTGGTAGAGAGATTTCATGGGGATGTTTCATTGAAGACAGTAAGACTATATTAGGCTCCTAACGAGACCCACTGTGAGGGAAGGGGGTGATGGTAACGTCTTTTCCAGCAGGAATTCCTGATTTCAATACAGTCTGCCCAAAACATTGCTTCATCACTTGTATTAAGGATAGTATATACAGGGTCTGGCACCAGTAACACCCCGTTTTTATTACAAAGTCATAAGGATGTCATTCTGTAACTCAGCAGTAGCACACTCAAGCACACCATAGGACGTTTTAGGTGACGTGTTCAAACTGCAGCTATGAATGACCACACCCCTGGTGTTGCCCCACCCGCCACACTCCAGCAGGCCTTCCTTCTGCCGGACCCTGTGGGTTCCGGTGCATCTCACATCTCATAAAATCCAGGTTTGGTGCAATTCTCCTGTCACTCCCCTGTGTGTGACCTCAGATGGCTCCCCACGCTATTCGAAAAGAATCCAACTACGCCCGAGGGCCCGACCAGCTCCTGCCAAGGGCAGGGCCTGTTCTCTGGAGATGCCAACCCCGAGGCCCACAGCGGCTTTGCTGTCACGTGACTGCAGGTCCCGCGTCTCATACAGCCGCCCGGTGGCTCGCCCCTCACTTTATTCGTGTCCCTGTGGGAAGGTGGCCTCATCTACAGTGACGGCCCTCTCAGCTCCACCCCCTGTCCGTCAGCCTCTGCACCCCGGCCTGGTTCTTTCGAGTGCCCCTGTGTGGCCCGTCAGCGTCTGTGTGTGGTCTAGTCCCCATCCTCCCCATTCCCACCAGAGTAGGAACCAGTTCTGGGGGCGGGGCCTGGGACTTTCCTTCACTCATGTCCACGGTCCCGGGGCCCAGATCAGGCCCGGCTGCCACAGGCAGAGTGATGCTCACCTTCCAGGACAAAGAAAAAGCGAACCTGAGCAAAGGCTGTTTCATGTCCACAGTCCTCGCCCACGAAAAATTTGGAAATTGGGGAGCTCAGACAAACATCGTGACAAGGAATCACCGTCCACACCTGGTCAGGGCCGTTGGTGAAGAATGAACTGTTTTTAATGTGGTCAGACCCCAAGTCCAGGTGCATCCCCCCCCCACTCCGATCTAGGAGGGGTGTAGGTCGGTGCCAGACCATTGTCACCAGTCGTTTCTGAGGAATAATGTGACTGGGGAAATGAGGACATTTCAAAAGGCACAATGTCGTATTCGTTTTCCAATACGGGGAAAAGATCATTCATATAAATAACACACGATCGAGCCAACCATGGACATTAATCAATATTATCATTTATTTTCTACTATTAAAATATCTTTATTGCAAAGCTACATATATTTTCAAGTTAAAATATAATACTAAAGGAGGGAATAAAACATAAAGGTTCACTTAGAAGATTAATCTAGAAACAATGTCTACAAAACGCAGGGCCGTGCAGTTTGATGGAAACTCCGTTTGAGTAAGAGGCGTGTGTCTTTACCACAGTACTTCTTTCCTTGCCGCCGAGAGAGAACCCAAATGTTCCGTGAGTGCTCAGAAGCCCCTCGGTCTCCGGGTGCTCAGGAAGCCTCCTGTTCTTCACACCCCCAGGGGCTGTCCAGGCAGGAGCTGAGGGTGGTGTGAAACCTGGGAGGGAGGAGAAGCTTCAGCACGGGGAGGGGCGCCCCCACGCCCGCTGGCCTCAGGGACCCTCTGGTGGCGGTGGGCGGCACAGCTGGCAGTTGGGAAGTGGGGAGGAGGGAACAGCTGCTGCCTTAGGACCCAGGGCCAGCCCAGGGAGGGGACCCCCGGGGCTCAATTACCTTCTGGCCTCCTGGCAGGGTTGGAAAAGCTCCTCGGGAAGTGGTGGTCTTCACGCCCTCTTCCAGGGCCTTGAGCGTCATCAGCATCTCTGCCATCTCCTCCCGGTGCCTGGACTGTCTGCGCCTCTCTTCCTTCAGCTGGTCAACCAGGGAAGTGATTTCCTGCCGCAGCACCCAGTAGGCCGTGGTTTCCTTTCTGTAAGTGTCCACGAGGCTGGGTATGTTTAAGGACTGCTTCTCCCGTCCGGCCTCGGCTAAGGCCGACTCGAGCCTCGAACACTCCTCTCTGGCCGAGCGCACCTGCTCAATGAGCTGGCATTTCTTCGCCACCTGTGTGGCCACGGCTTTTGCGAGCTGCACTTCATGTCTTAGGTAGAGTCGGCTCCAAACAGACTGAAGAAGTCTGACTATAAAGACGAGACCCACCAAGACAGGTGGACACACCAGCGTCTTCCACAGGAGGACGTGGACCATGAGGAGTGGAACCAGGCCACTGGGCAGCAGCTGCACTACCATCTTGCCCAGCTTCCCGAGGACCGACCCAAGGCCCAGCCCCACAGAGGACCACAGCCGCTCCATCTGGTCAGTTGCCCGGTTGCCGCGGAGTCCCCAGCCACAACATTCCGCCCGGAACTGGCCAGCAGGGGCCATCCCGATTGGCCGCCAGTGGTGTGGGAGGGGTGGGGGGAGGTTTGTCAGTCAGATGCCCTGGTCCGACTTTTGTTATTAAACAGAATGTGAGGCAGATGGCTTGCAAGCACCGTGACAAGGGAACGGTGGTCCCTACCTGTCATCCATCGTCACTCCCCATTGGTCCCTGCATTTTCCTGAAATGAGTGTCCCCAAAAGTAATTCCTCCTGCTAAATCAAGCTTGTTTTCTTTTGTAAAATATTTTTGTTTGTTTATTTTTAGAGAGAGAGAGGAAGGGAAGGAGAAAGAGTGGGAGAGAAACATCAATGTGTGGTTGACTCTTTTGTGTCCCCTACTGGGGACCTGGCCTGCAACCCAGGCATGTACCCTGACTGGGAATCGAACTGGTGACCCTTTGGTTCACAGGCCTGTGCTCAATCCACTGAGCTACACCAGCCAGGGCTTGTTTTCTTTTTGGGAAGGTCCCCCACGGGTGATCAGGGGAGCAGCAGAGGCAGACTCCATCCTGGTTTCAGGAAGATTTTGCGTCTGGTGGCGATTTTGCCCACTCGTGAGTCACCCATTCCTGCAACCACAGCCGGACCCGAGGTGAACCTACGGCCTTTACAAAGCTTCTCCTGTTTATGTGTCAGTTAGAGGGGCTGCCCAGCGACCAGTCTTCTGAGATCAAAGCCTCTTCGCTGTCCTCCATTCTTGGTTCCCGCTTCTCCCCTGGGCTATTGCAACATCACCTTACCCTTCTCTCCCTGCCCTGGACCATCCTCTTTGCCAGACTTACCTAAAATTAGACCCGACTGCGCTTGGGACTGGGCTGGCCCTTGGGTACCCGCGGGATAAAGTCCCAGCACCTAACCCAGGACCCTTCAGTCCTGGCTTTCGTTGCCAAACAGTTAGTGTCCAAGGTGCTGCATGCAGCCCATACTTTTGCCGCCCTGAACTTCTCATTGTCATTTCAACACTTCCTACCTGTGATTCCTTGAGCTCACAATGCTCGTCTTTTCCTCTTTACTCTGTCTGATCTCCTTTTCTGTCCTGCAAACCTCTACCTGTACTTCAAAGCCAAGCCGACACCACCTGTGTGTTGTGGGGGTCGGGCTTCTTTTATGCAGATTTACCTCTGGATCCCACCCAATGGAAATGCGTTGCTGTCCTGCATCCATCGTACCCTGGACGAATCCCGAGACTGGGATTCTGACACTGTGGTCTGACAGGTGGCCCAATGCGTCAGGTGCAGGCTCCGACCGTTGTCCCCTGCTGGCACGCTCCAGGGACCATCCCAGAAAGTGTTCTGGCAAAGACCGGGCTAGTTTTCCTCACGATGATTGTAGAGAGGATTCTCACATTAAGTGGACAGTTTTACTATTGATAAATTACCCTTAAGATTTCCATCAGCTCCAAGAATGGGTGATTTTATAGGACAAAATGTTGGATGTTTTCTTGTGTGGCTATATTCCCTCGATTTAGCAGAAGGTCTTTGTCATTTATACATGTGTTTTGGAAGGTCTTTGTCATTTATACATGTGTTTTGGGCTGATGTTAAATTTTCTTTATGGATTTGTTTGAAATAAGTGGGTTGTTCCTTGCAGCTTGGATGGGCGGGTGTCTTACATGGATTATCCGGGCTTTGATGTTTGTTTTGGTGGAGAAGACCACTGATCAACAGCATGGCCACCATGTGCTTCTCTCAAACACCGTTCTCCTTCCTCCATGGAATGAGCATTTTCTGCTGGGTCTGGAGCAGCAGCTCTGACCCCCCAGCCGGCCTGGAGTTTGGCGGGACAGAGTTCTGAGTGTGACCCTGGGACTGGGGTGTGCCCTCAGGGAGTGCGGCTCCCTCCTTCTTGGTTTCCCCCAGGGTCAGCTGGCTGCAGTGCCGGCCTGGCGACAAGGCTCTTCCAGCCTCAGGGGCCAGTGCAATGGCCTAGGGATGGACAAGTGACCGTGTGGAATGAGCAGGCCTGTGTGCCCACACAGGGAGCTCCCACCAGGGCAACCCAGTTTCCGAGGGGGACAACCTCAGTCTCGTGTCAGCCGCTGAGCCACTGTCAGTCTGGGTCTTGGTCTTGTCAAGCAGCCGACACTGTAGCCTGAACAATACGACAGCTCTGTCTTTGTGTTGTTGTCCTGCAGTGCCGGACCGCGCCTTCCGTGTGTTGGTGGTTTCACTCTGATTCGCAAACAAATAGAACTGCGTCTTGAAAGTGGCTGAGATGGATGGGCCCTGGCGTCTGGTGGGAGATTTTAGAATCAAGGAGCTCGGCATGTGGGCAAGGAGAGAAGAAAAGGGAGTGAGCACTGATGGAGCATTTGCTGTATACCAAGTACTATCCCAGGTGCTTGGCACACAACACCTGACTTTAGTGTTGTGATTTCCATTGCGTAGCCAGAGAAGCCGAGACTTAGTAGGAAGGTTTGGCCACTGAGTCGTCGGGGGTGGGGCTGTGGTTTAATCTCAGGTCTGATCTCAGAGCCCTGCTCTGCTGGGAGGGGGGAGGTGTGAGGTTTGGGGTGGGGACTTCCTGGGGGCTCACTAGGGGCCCCTGTTTATTGGGGGGGCCCTGAGGAAAGCGGTACAAGGGGCTTTGGCCTCCAGGCTGGACCTCAGGATGCTGTGTCCCTTCTGCAGGAGACAGGATACTTGCTCTAAGTCGGGGACATCCAGGCGCCTGGGCCCTGGCCTTGGACCCTGGTTCACATCCCGTGGAGAGGGGCTGCTTTGAGGTCAGGGCAGGCTGATGGGTTTGAATATTCTTAAATGTTTTCTTGCCCAGGCTCCTGGAAGAGGGGGCAGTGAGACGCGGGGGAGAGAGGGCTGTCTCTAGGAAGCTTAAGTCAGGGCCCTGTGCCCCCCAGGCCAGAGGGAGGGAGAAGGACGCCCAGAGAACAGGGCCACCATCTGGTAGAGGGGAGAATAGCAGTGGCTGGGACTCCAGACAGCAAACGGGGTGCAGCTTCCTGGGGACCTTGGGAGGGGCGTGGGCAGGGCGAGGCCTGGAGGAGAAGGTAGGGTGGACAAGGGCTCGGTTTTTTCCCCCAGAAGAGGACTAACAAGGGCTCAGGGGGATGGTTACTTGAGCCGTCGGTTATTTCTGAGCCTGGTGACTGGACAGTTACTTGCAGACACTGGAGAAGGTCCGAGCTAGAGGCCAAGTCTCTGGACAAGCAGGCAAACTCGGGTTGTTTCTCCCCAGGTGAGGCCCGTGGACCAGGCCCGACAACCCTCAGGGCCCAGGACCCGTGACGTGTAGGAGAGATTCCTCTGAGGCTGGGGAGTGGAGGGCTCGGAGTCCAGGAGGGGACCGGCTCAGGGAATGGGGGTCCGGGATCCCTGGAGCCTGGGGTCTCCCAGGGAGCCCAATGGGCCCAAAGCTGGTCTTGTTGACCTGGGTCTCGTTTGTGACCTTTGCACCCTGAGTGCTTTAGGAAAATACTCTTGCGTTTGTCCTTCTGCCAAGATGACCCTCATTGCCTTGCTAATAGGGTTTGAGGCCCACCCATCAGTGTCCCTGGAGGCCTCTGGGACCATGGAGAACGGCAGCAGAGGGGCGGGCCCCAGCTGCTGGGGCTGCTGGCACAGTGACAGCACCCAGCAGGGAGTCTGATGGAGGACCGTGAGACATAGCACTTGAACTTTTCCAAGGCCAAATTACACACACAGAAAACTCACCCTCTGCGGTGTCCAGGTTGGTTCCTTCTGGGCGTAGTAAATCCTCCTCAGGAACGGACCCTAGGAGGCTGCCGTGGGCAGGTAGAAATAAAGATGCCACTTTGACCCCACCTGGAAAGGTTTAGCTTAAAAAAAGAAAGCAGCGTATGTGTTCCACACTCGCCTTCATTGGGAGAGTCACCGAGGCTGGGCTTTCCTCTGCCTTCCTAGTGCCAAGGGCATCTTCTTGGTGATCCATTATGGTTTACGGCTTTCGTGGGGGCAGTAGCCCCAGATTTAATCGATAGCCGTTTCTCCTGCCTCAGCGCTTTTGCGGGCTGCGCCCTGCTCTGTATATTAAGCGGTATTTTCGTGCGCTGCCTGACCTTTACCTCTTGGGCCGGGCTTCCTCGTTGTAAGTCCTCCTGTTTGACCGTGATCCACATCTAAGGTCAAAGGCTGTTGACAGCACTTGTGAATTTCCCCAGAGGGTCATGCAAAACGTCCCAGGATGTGGAAATCCGCCCTGTCTGCGCATTTGGGTCTGCGCCTCCCGATCTGACATAATCTTACTCGTTTGTCTGTTTGCGGTGTCAGGTCACCCCAGCTTCGCCCCGTGGGGTTCTGACTCCATCCTGGGTGCAGCCCAGGTTTTGGACACTGAGCCATCGGACAGGAGGGAAATCAGTGGCTTTCTCACTGCACCCAGTTTCCCCACTGCACCACCCACTGATCAGCCTGTTGTCTCATCTCTCTCATTGATCTGTGTCTTCAGTGGTGGAAGTGAAATCCTGTGGTCTCTCCTGCGGACGAGTCCTATCGTGACTTCCGAAGTGTTCGGGCCCTGTGCTATCACTCACGTTAGCCTCGGAGAGGGCATTAAGGCATGGCTCCTGCGTGTGGCCTCTGTCACCTCTCTGAGCCAAATGGGAAAGAGACGCTAGGCTACCCGATTTGGAGGCCGAGAGTCTTTGTTCATTTCTAGAGCAAGTTCTCAGTGTGAGTCATACCCGGGAGTTGGATGGGCCCTTTTTCCCAGTAGCTTTGAAGGGAGGTCTTGGCTGGTGGGTGTTCCAGCCCCACGGAGCCAGCATCCTGAGCCTCCCGGGTTGTGCCCAAATCTCCATCTCTTCCTTCTGGTACTCGGGCTCTTCCTTTGGTTTCTAAGTCTGGCCCCATTTTTACCGCTCCTTGTGACCACTCCTCCAATAGAACCACTTTGCAAACTAAGACGCTCCTCGGCCTCTGGTCCTTCATCGCTGTCTGTCCACCCGCAGCGTGGAGCCTGGTGCTTGGCCTGCAGAGCCCAGAGCGATGCATTGCCCTGGGGAAATTCTCCCCCCACCTCCCTGCAGCTGTCAGGGTCTCCCAGGCCTGGCTCAGGCTCTGACTTCCGGAGCTGGGCTGGAGCCAGTGGGAGGGGGAGGACCAGCTCCTGGGACCCGAGACCTTGTCTGCTGCCACTAAGCCTTGGGTTCCTTATCTCTACATTGGGGGTACATTGGGGGTATGATGGGGGTTGTGAGGCTTCAGGAAAGTAGCAACTGTCAAGCACTCAGCCCTGCCCAGGGTTACAGAGGGTCTCAGGTTGTACCCTTCTTGCAAGCTGACTAGTTCCGTGGATGCTGGCTTTTTAAAAAGATACGAGGCAAGGAATGAAAAAAAAGTCACAATGTGCCATGTACCACCTGCTGTTCTTTAGAGGATAGTTAAATTTCCCCTGATAATTTCTTTTTCCATTAATCCTTTTTTCTCTGTGAGGAGATCTTTGGAAAACTGCTGACTTGGCAGCTGGAAATATTTTCTTGGCAAGCCCTTCGAATGGGTAATTGTATTAAAGTGCCTCTTTGTTAGCCTTGCCTTTAAATAACTCTTTTTTAAAAGAATTTCTCTGTTGGAGAGAGAAGAATAAAATAAATGGTGCATCTTTATTCTCCACACATCATTATTTTTGAACCTTTGGAGACCAGTGAAAGTCTCCACGGTGAGGGATTTTAGGCACAAATCAGCAGCGTGTCAGGAGGTGTGGGCGAGGCCCGTGGTGCCTGCAGCTGGGCCTGGTGTCTCCCAGACGGTCCCCAAGCACCCGGGAGCCGTCGGCACCGTGCTCCCAAAACAAGAGGTTTTATAAAAATTATGGTTAAATGTATTGGGATACCATTGGTCAATACCATTTTATGCATTGCAGGCGTACAACTTTATTATACCACATCGGCACCCATGGTGAGTGTGGTCGACCCCCCAAATTTGAAAACACTTTCTGGTAGAGATGGCTTGGCCCCCGTGTTCAAGGAAACAAGAGCTTTTCACGTCCACCACCACATCCCCACGCATGACGCAGGCTCTGGGGACACAAACGCAGGGCGCCAATTATGGTAACATGCTCTGAGCACAGGTTCTCAAGACATGCAAAACTGCGTGTTTGACATTGTATGGCACCACGACTTCAAAATTGATTTTTAGGCAGTGGCCGCCTGTGAGTCCTTTTGCCTCCACTGAGAATTGGGGGCTGGTTGGGAGGGGCGGCATGTCTCCCTCGCTGTCTCCCTGGGATAAGTGAACGGAAGTTGGAGGCTGAGGTCTGGCTTGGCTGCAAG